CCTGCTTGCCCTGAGGTGGCTGTGTGGCCCCTGCTGCTTCAGCTCACATTTCCCAGCCTCAAATTACCCCAGGCTGTCAGAGAGTCGGAATTATTTTGTGCAGCTCCTTCACACACCCCCTGCTCTGTTTTTGTTGCCAGATTTTGCCAAAGCCCCTCGAGTATCTGCATGTCCAGGCACAGCGTATTGCAGCACATGATCCCAACTGGCAGCTCTTCTGGGGAGCAGAGCTGCACCAGCCCCGACTGCTCAACACCACGGGGAGTAAGATGAGCCTTGGCAAGGCAGCTTCGTTCAACCACAACGGCATTTTCTTCTTGACTAGATCAGGGTCAGAGGTCTCCTGCCAAATTTTGACATGTTTTTCTCAGTGGGGGAGCAGCCCAGAGCGTGATTTTTCCTGGAAACCACCTGGAGCTTTTCTTCTTTAAGATCATTTTTCTCAATGGGGTTCCTTTGATGCTCACACTGGGAGCACCACATGCAGCAGTTACACTCCCAGCTGGAGTCTCCTCTCCCCTCATTGACGATGGGAGGCGATGGCAAGCTCTCTGATGGAAAAAGCCCTGCCACAGGGCAGTGAGTGAGGGAATCCTTCCACTGGCAGCACTCACAAAGTGTTGGGGATCAGGAGATGCTGGGGTAAGCTCGTGGAGAAGGGGCTCATGACAGCACAGCTCACCCCAGTGTCAGACCAGCCAAGCTGCCCCATAAGAAAAGCACTAAATCCCTGGAACTGGTCAGACATCTCAAGTGAGTGTGATGAACAAAGCACAGTGAGTCAGGGGCCAAGCAGAGAGAGGAGATCTGTGTTTGTGCAGCATCAGCAGATTTCCTCACAGCCCCCATTTTTGGGGCAACAGAGGAAGCGACTAAATGAGGCGAATCCACAGTGGTCCCAGCAGGATCTGCTCCCCTGCATGCTATCTCCTCTCTCTCTACAGCCTGGCTTCTTCCCACCCCAGCCTCTTTCCAGCTCTTTGCACTGGTGCTAATCCCCTAATCTGTGCAAAGCAATAATTTTCTGCATGGCACAGTGGCTGCTTTTAGATCTGCACCCCTCCTCCTCCAACAGCCAGTTCTCTTATCAGGAGCAGGTATCAGGTGAGCCAGGCACCATCTACTTCCGATAAACCCATGTTGTATTTTGCCCTATTTCCATTTATCTCCAAGCTCGTAATTATCCCTCATCTCGCAGTGCGTTGTGCTGCCTTGCGTGCCGAGGCGCGGAGGCGACGCCTGCTCTGCCGGGCAGCCCTGAGCCAGCGCCTCCTGCCAGCGGGGTGCAAGGACCCTGTGGGATGATACAGGGGGATGGGACCTGCCCACCATGCTGGCTGCAGAGCTGTGCTTCCCTTTCCCCGCAGCCGAGCTGCGTTGCCTTTAATCTCGCGCAGCGGTGGAGATGGATTTTCTCCCCGTGAGCCAGATGTGTTGCACGGAGCATAAACACCCGCGACAGTTGTTGTGCTCCTCGGTGTGAAGGCATCAGATGTCTGCATTAAAACAAAGCTCTCCACTTAATTACTCAGGCTGATAATTCAGCGCGTGGAGGCGGCTCTGGCTGAGAGCAGAGGGCTGGATCACAGCTGGGACTGGAGAGCCTTGGAGTGCACATTAATCCTGGCTCTTGCAGCCCTGATTAACGGTGCTGGAAACCTGCCAACCCCATTCATTCCCAGGGGAAGGGTCTGTTACTGCCCCACCTGAGGGGGCCCAGAGTCGTGCCCAAGAGGCCCTGCTGACCCTTCACTGGCCAAGACTCCGCCTTCCCAGTGTCTTCAGGGTGAGGTGGCTGAGGATATGAGGCACCATTGCTCTGAGGGTACTGTGCTGCCCTGGGAACACCAACCCAGTGCCTCTGAAGGCCACAGGAGCTGGGTCCAGGACAGTGAAGTTCAGGCAGGACCTGAGGATCCCCTTGTGCAGGAACCTGCTGCCAGAGCACAGCTGGAGAGAGCTAGAGACAGACCATGGCTGGGCTTAGAGCAAGACCAGGCAGACCACCCAAGGTTTTCTCTTTGTGGCCAAGGCTGCTTGCTCCTGCTAACCTGAATTTCTCCTTCCAGGACCAGCAAACACCTTCTGCAAGGTATCTTTGCTCCCCTCAATGATCACCACGGCCTAGGGGGACTCCTGGGGGAGTCCTTCACTCAGCCATGTGCCCTTGGCCCATGAGCACCCACCTGGCTCTGCCAGTCTGTCTGGATGTGATGCTCCCTTGGACCTCTCTCCCTCCAGCCTGATCCCCAACCCAGCCCCTCCCTCCTTCCCTCTCATCATCCCTCTCTCTCAATGCCTGGGCATCCCTCTCCCAGCAGAGAGAGCCCCAGTCCTAGGGCACCCTGTGGATCTGCCTGTGGGGTCCTGCCTCTCCAGGGAGACTGATTTCTTCCAGCTCAGTTCCAGCCCTCTTATCTCTCCTCCCTGGTCTGCACGCTTTGCTTTGTGGCTGGGCTGAGTGGGAGCGACAGACGGCATCTGCCTGGGCTGAGCACCCACGCTGGTGCTGGGCACACAGGGCGCAGGGGCCCAAAGCAGGCAGCAGGCAGCTGCAGCAGCACATCCCAGCGGGGCCCCAAGAGTTAAATTGTCATGTATTCAGGGCCACGCGCTGGCCAGGAATTACACTTTTATCGGCATGCGGTGCTGCCGCCACTTGAATTGGGACTGGGAACTCTATTTCCGAGCTCACCCAAATTATTCTCCAAGAGATAAAGCGCGGTGCAGAGCAGCGCCGGCGCTTCATTAACATTCCCCAACCCATTCAGCTTTAAACGAAGATTGCCTGCCTCGGAAAATGATAAAATTGAACATGTGAAGCAGGGCATTATGTTCCATCAGCCGATATTATTTCCCACGCAGGGGCCGAGTGGAGACACAAACAGCTATTTATGCAGTACCTGGCCAAGCCAGGGTGGCTTAGGAGGGGGTAGCAAGCAGTGATGGGGACTCAGGATGGGTGGCAAGTGCCCCCCACCCATCCCTGGGCATAACAGGGGATGTCTGCTTGTTGCCAAGGCCACTCTGCCCTTCTGAGGGTTCCCAGGCTTGTGCCCAGGGTCAAGGTGGGTCCAGGACCACAGACCTGCTCCATGCATTCAGTATGGAAAAGGGCTCAGGGGTGTATGGGTGTTCCCATGGGCAGCACTGGCAAGGCTGGGGCATCTCCATCTGCTGCCCTGCTCCAGGAATCCATGTCCCCTGCTAGGGCTGAGCAGGTCAGGTGCTGGCTCCATGTGCAGGATGGGGTCTTACCCCCCATGGCTGGGTGCTGGGCCAGTGGGATTGAGGAGTATCCACAGAGTGGGAGCACGTGCCTCCCCAGAGGCAGGCGGGGAGGGCTGAGTGAGCAGGAAGGGCTGAGCAGGCAGGCCCCCGGGGCTGCAATTGGATTTTGTTCGGCCATGCTGAGCCTATCGATCCAGTAGTAATTAAAGTCGCTCCAAAACCTGACTCATATTCAACCTTGGGAGGAAGGAGCTTTGCTGAGAAGCACCCTCTGTTCCCCATGGTCTGGCACAGGATGGAGCAAAGCCTTGCCAGAGTGCTCCCAGCCCCTAGTGGTCTCCTGCCAAATTTTGGTCACAGCCCCCAGTGGTCTCTGTCCCAAAGGGGGACCATGCCTTGGCACTGTCTGGGGCCCAGGCAGCAGCACCAATCCAGCAGTATCCTGGCCAGTGTCCCCAATGCCACACAACCTTGGTCACAAATGCTGATTAGGTTCAGCCCTTGGAGTGACACGAGCCCTATAGTTATTTTACAGATCCCAGCTATTTTCTCACCAAGTGGCTGAGACACATCCCTGGCATGTAATAGTACTCTCCCATAGCCCTTTCTTGTCACTATCTAGGCTCTGATTGAGGAACTGGCACGCAGAGAGGAGCGTGTTGTGCCCACAGCCACTCCCAAGAGTCACCAAGGTGCTGGGATGGACCTGGTGCTGTGCTGTGTGTCCACAGGGTGTGGAACCTCTTCTCCAGCTCAATGTCAGCCAGGGAGATGTGAAGGCCCGCGAGGATTCTGCGAGCTGTTCATGAGTATTTGTATGTGTGTGTGTCTGTGTGCACAGGGACTCGCATGCCCAGCCCTGCCGCCAGCCCCGCTGCTATTCCCGGTATTTGTAGCAGGTCGGGACAGGCACCGGGGAGGGGGAGCTGCCTTTCACCGGCGCCCCCCGCACCCTGCCCATCCCTCCTGCGAGAAAGCAGGGCCGCCAGGGCCCGGGGGCTGCGGCAGGGAGGGGCACGGGGCCGGGGGCAGCCCTGGGCACCCCCGGGCCAGGGACCCGGGGCAGAGTACGGGCAACGCGCACAGCGACGGGGCTTTGCTGCGGGGAGGTGGCTCCATCTGCAGGACACGGGCCGGGCCGGGAGAGCCGGCGCGGGGGATCCCCGCCGCCCCCGGCCGCCGCTCGGTGTGCGGGACACGGCGCTGGGGCACAGCGGACAAGGACATGGGCTCCTCCGGCCATAGCCGCGCCGATACCGGGATGCGGCCGTGGGAAAGCGGTGCCCTCTCCAGCATCCCTGTACCCCCAGCGCCTCCCGCGCCCGCTGGTTCCCCGGATACCCCTGCACGCCCCGAGCACCTCGCACCCACTGCCCGTGCACGCCTTAAGTGCTCTCATCAGGTACACCCAGTGTCTGGGCATCCCCCGCCCCCAAAGGCAACCCTCACCCTGCTCCAGTGCTGCCACCCGCACCCCGGGGCATCCCACGCCCTAGGATCCCGGGAATGCTGCCCCGCGCCGGCAGCCGCCGGCCCGGCCGGTGGGAGCCCGGTGGCGGCGGGAGGCGGAGGCGGGGCCGGGACGGGCTCCACCCCGGCCCCCGGCCCACATAGGCCGGCCGGGAGGGCCCCTCGCCCCCTCGCCTGCGCCGTCCCGAGGCCCCACGGAGTATCTCAGCGGAAAGCGTGGGGCAGGAGCTGCGCGTGGAGACGTGCAAAGGGGGTGCCTGGCTGCGGGGCCTCGGCGCCGTCCCGTCCCGGGCGCTGGGATGCTGCGGCAGCGTTGCGGGCAGCTCCTGGCCCGGCTGGAGCGAGGGCTGCAGCTCCTGGAGCTCGGCGGCAGCGTGGAGGAAGGTGGGTGCGTGTAACCCTTCGGCCCGGGGCACACCGGCACCCTCCTCTCTGGGGTGGTCTGGGGAAGCTGGGGGCTGGGCCCCCGTCCCGGCTGACCACCCGCTGCTGATGTGCTCAGACTGCATCCGGATCGCTCGGTGCTTCGAGGCGACGCGCCAGAGATGCTGCCGGCTGGAGCAGGATGGGCGTCGTGCCCGCGAGCAGCTGGCCCGTGTGGAGGCCGAGCGGGCAGCGCTGGAGGTGAAGCTCAAGCACGCCCGAAACCAAGTGGAGGTGGAGATGAAGAAGCGGCACCGGGCAGAGGCTGAGCTGGAGAAGCAGGTCGGGGGCTGGCCGCAGGGGTACCCTGTGGGGCTGGCTGTGGGGCCCTCAGCCTGCTCACCACCCCCCCCGTTTCACTTGCAGGAGCGAAAACTTCAGCTGGTCCTCGAGTTGCTGATGCGGGAACCATGGGGCAACGAGGCACTGAGCAGGGAGCAGTGCTCTGTTCTCAGTGCCCTGGCTGGCCGGCGCCTTGGGGCAGCCTTGGCACCCAGCAGGAGGTGAGCAGGTCCTCACCCCAACCCCTCGGGCAGCCCTGGGGTCAGCTGTGCCCCTCTGCCCCTCATCACTGCTGGGCTTGAGGGGCTGGCTCGGCAAGGAGGTGCCTGGGCTCTGCAGAGGCATCAGCTGTGGGCTCCCAGGAGTAGGTGCCGACTGAGGGGGGAATTGCTCCAGCTGAACTCACTCTGCAGGTCATCTGCAGTGGATGAGTCGTGCCAGTCCCTCCTGTCCCACTCGGATATCAGCTATGACCGCACTGAGGATGACGTGGTAAGAAGTGTTTGGCTGTCAGTCTCAGGGCTTACCCCAATAGTGAGGGGGTTGTTTTGCCCCACTTCTGCAGTGGCACAGCTCCTTTGTATATCCATGGTTAGGGGTGGGCTGCTATCAGAGCTGGAGATGAATGCTGGGGATGCCCCTGGCCTGATGCAGCCCCAGACTCCCTGCTGCCTTTCAGGATGTTGATATGACACTGGTGCGGACCCTGAAGCGCAAAGCTCCGGACAGGCAGGTATGAGGAAACGCTGGGATGTGTCAGTTTTGAGGGCTGGTGTTGAGATGGTGTCTGTGCCTTTGTGTGAGTGAGGATCCCCCAACTCTGATCACACTCCTTCAATGTGCCCTTTGGGTTCCTCTGCCCACCCAGGTCCCAGTGTGCATCCCAGGCTGGGGTGCTGGCTGTGTGCCATGCAAGGTGAGGACACCCAGATACTTCTCCATCCCAGTACAGGAGGCTGCAAGGAGCCTGGCAGGGAATTTAATTTATTGATGCTGTGCTGGGAGCATCATCTCTCGGCAAACCTCCCACAATCAATAGAAACTCCATTACGCTCCACCATCGCCCAGCTGGGCTCCTCAATAATTCATCACCATGTGCGGGCATCCCGCACCCTGCTCTGCTTGCACCTCTGCATTGCAGGCCTGACCTGGCTTCCCCCAACCCCAGGGGCTGGCTCTCACCTGGTGGGGAAGCCTCAGTCCCCTTGATGCCTGGTGTGGGGCAGTGCTTGGGGAGTAGGGTGAGACTGGGACTTTTTGCTGGGCTGAGGCCACTTGGCTTGGGTACACTGGCGAGTGGGGAGATGTCAGGGAGGGGAGAATCTCTGCCTGCTCTTCACGCTGTCTTCTGTTTCCAGCGTGTGTCCCTGGCCCCTCAGGTTGGCCCTGTGGTGATGGCAAAGCGGCACCGTTCTTCTGTGGTACCCCATAATGCTGTGAGTAGAGACCCCAGCGTGCCCTGGGCAGGGATGGGGTGCATGGGCTTTCCCAGTGCCAGAAGACAATGCTGCAGCCCTCAGTCCTGTGGATGCAGTGGGGACAGTGCACAGCTGTCTCCTCTGGGTGCCTGTGTCCTTCAACCTGTATCACCTTGGTCCTAGTGGGGACAGCATCCCTGGCTATGCTGGACCACTGCCCCGAAGCCTGCATCCCCCTGTACCCATGGTGGCAGCATCCCTGGCTGTGCAGGACCACAGGGATGGGGATCAGGTGGACCAGTGATCATGTGGGAGATGTTGGAGAACTGTGGGGCTGCAGTCACATATCTTATTGGTGTCCCATTTTGGCAGGTGAGTGTCCCCTCTATGCCGCCTCCTGCTGAGGTCCCAGGCCCTGCTGACAACCTCCTGCCTGCTGTTCTGGTGCCTCAACGCCGCTCTCGCCAGGGACATCGTGTCTCTGCACATGCAGGTCATAGGAAGGGCTGAGGAGGGGTTTGATGGGTGGTATGGGACCAGCCTCAAGGTGCTGCTGTCACAGGAGAGGGAGGGGATCTGTTGGGGATGCTTGTCCCCACCGTGGAGGTATTGGGGCCCTCTGGACATGCCAGATGCTACTGTCTCATGCAGAGACTCGCTGTGAGGTGGGAAGCCTCCTCACATCCTAGCTGGTAGAGTGGCTTGCCTTTCAGGTCTCCCTCCACGGCCTCCTCCCTCTGCAGAGCTGAACACAGTTTGGGGCACCAGTGAAGATCTGGGCTGCCATGCTGCGGGGCAGGAGAGCCACACTGAGGGCAGCTCAGTGGGACAGCCAGCACCAGCCCCCTTGCCCTCACCCCCACGGAGTCTCCCAGCAGTCCAGCACAAGTTCACCTCCAAAACGGTGTGTGACCCAGCCTCTCTCTCCTCTGGGGAGGTGGGCAGGGGAGAGAGTTATGGGGTGGGAGAGCAAAGCTGTCCTTCATTCCCCAACCCCTTAGCTCCACCTGCCAGGGGAATGGATGGAGACAGTGGGACCTGTCTGGGGGAAAATAAAGGAGTGTTACTGGGTATCTGCAAGAAGGGGAGCCCCTGATACTGTTCCCCCTCTCCAGGTGATCCGCCCTGAGCCTTGTGGTGTCTGTGGTTCCCGCATCCGCTTTGGGAAGACTGCCATCAAGTGCTGCCAGTGCCAGCTGCTGCTGCACACCAAGTGTCAGGAGCAGTGCCCCAGCCTCTGCACGCCCAGGCCCCACCACCATGCCTGGCCCCGGGAGGTGAGGGGGCACAGCAGTGCTTGGGGGCCTCTCCATGTCCTCGTGAGGCTTCAGGGCTACTGGCCCTAGGATGCTGGGCCTACTGCAGGGCTGGCTGGTGGGCACAGCGCAGGTTGGCATTGTTCTCCCCAGGGTGTGCTGGCTGACTTTGCGCCCTCCACGCCGCCCCTGGTGCCCACGCTGGTGGTGCAGTGTGTGACCGAGGTGGAGAAACGAGGCTTGACAGAGGTAGGGGCCAGGATGGTGAAGGTGGCAGTGCTGTGGTTCCCAGGGGCTGAGCCCTTTTCCCTGTGCCCCAGACAGGGCTGTACCGGGTGCCAGGCGCGGAGCAGCTGGTGCGGGAGTGGAAGCGGAAGCTGCTGCGGGCTGGGGGAGCGCTGCCTGCCCTCAGCACTGTGACTGACATCCACGTGGTGTGCGGGGTGCTCAAGGACTTTCTGCGGGGACTCAAGGAACCACTGGTCACCTTCAGCCTCCACCCTGCCTTCCTGAAGGCTGCTGGTGAGCAGGGGTCCCCAGTTGAGGGAGGAGGAAGGGACTGCTTCTCCCCTAACACTGCTCCCTGGTGCTGCCACAGACATCCCCGATGATGCTGCCAGTGACACAGCCCTGCGCCATGTGGTAAGCAAGCTGCCCCCAGCCAACAGGGATACCCTGGCCTTCCTCATGTTGCACCTGCTCAGGTGAGTGGCTCATCCTGGAATGGGTCTGTCCCCGTCTCCCAGTCTCTCTGCCCATCGCCCAGGCTTTGTGTCTTAGAGCGAGGAAGCTGTGGATGAGGAGCCCCTGGGCTGGGCAGCATGCTCACACCACCCCCTGTCCCCCCTTGCAGGGTGTCACACAGCCCTGACTGCAAGATGGATGTGCTCAACCTGTCCCGGGTGTTTGGCCCTACACTGGTGGGATACAGCTCAGCCAACCCCACACCACTTGCCATCATGGAGGACACGCCTCGGCAGTGCAAGGTGAGGGGTCCCTGAGGTGTGGGGTGCACCCTGAGCACTGCCAGTGTCCCCATCCTACACCTCTCTCTGCCCAGGTGGTGGCTCGTCTCCTTTCGCTGCCACCCAGCTTCTGGAGAGGCTTTGTGGAGACAGAGCAGGAGAACCTGGTGCCAATGCCAGCCCTGGGATGTGAACGTGGTGAGCACATGAGCCCCAGCCCCCACCCATCATGGCCTTCAGCTTCCTTGAAAGGTCTTGGTTGTCCATGGCTGGGGTGAGACACCTGTCCCCAATCTGTCCTGCAGCACCCTTCTTCCAGCCCATTGGCTCTCCAGAGCCCAAGTCAGGCCAGCTGAGCCCAGCTGGCACCTGCTGCCTCCCCAGCACCCTGAGGAGCTGCGTGGGCAAGGCCAGCCGGCCCCCGTGAGTGCTGTCGGGCGCGGGTGGGGCCCAGGGGAGCTCGCTTTGTACCCCTGACTCATCTCTCCCCACGCAGGCAGGGGCCAACCCCGAGGAAGGTGGGCCGGTTCTTCCCTTCTCCTGTGTAGCCTGCAGCAGTGGCTCCCTCGGGACACGGAGCTGGAACTGGAGGAGGAGCAAACACTGCAGGACCAGGCAGCTGCCTGTGGGGTGACAGTGCCGGGCTCAAAGCTCTGCTCTGCTTCCCTGGGGACTGGGGAGCAGAGCTGGCTCTGGGCAGCTGTGGTGGCAGGGACACTACACTAGTGCTTGTACTTTGAATCAGGTTTGTATTAAATGTTTGCAGCAAAACACCCCTGGCTGTGGCTGCTGTCTGTCCTGCCCTGCTGCTGCCAGGGGTTGGGCTCACTGGAGCCTGGCTGTGCAGCAGACAGGAGCTGAGCAATGCTCCACAGAACCCGTGCTTCGGGAGGGCAGGCAGAGCCCCCTCCCACCCGAGCTGAAGCCCTATTCTCCTGCTCTGGAGCCCTGGATGTGGGAGGCCCCTCTTTGAGCCCAGATGTTGGCCTCAAGTAATTGGAGCCGTTGCCGCTCAGGGCAGGACAACCTTAAAGTGTTTCCAGACTTCCTGGCACCTCAGTGGAGGCCTCCTTAACTCCTTCCTCCCCTCAGCTCAGGCAGTGCTAGAGGTGCACAAAGCCCAAGCAGGGCTGGGCTGTACAGCTCTTTCCCTCCAAGAGGGGGAAGCAGGATCATGCTGTGATGGAGCGATGTCCCAGGCAGGGCTTGTCCCCCAGATAACTCTGCAGAAGGGGCAACCAGTGCAAAGGGATTTTTGGGAAAAGAGGCATTACACAACAGGGATAAAAACTGCCCCTGTGCCACATCAAGCAGCCAATAAACCTTTGTCCCTACTAAAAGCCAGACCAGATGGGGCACATGAGAGAAAATTCATGTGCGATCCTGAAAGCAAGTACTTTGGCTCAGTTTTCTCCAGCACAGGAGTGTACACCAGAGGGCAAGGAAATTAACACATCCAAGGCAGAGGCAAAACTCAAGGAGTTTAATGTGCTTAAAGCTAGGGAACAGCTAATCCCTGCCCAGGACCACAGGAGAACTGGCACAGGAAGGCACAGGGCTAGGAGCAAGGATTTACTCCAAATCCATCAAACTGGGATGGTACTGGATGGATGGAGAATACCTAATACAGTGCCTTGCTGAAAATGAGAGGCATGATGGGGCCCTTGGTGGAGTGCAGGGCTTTAGCACAGAGTTCAAAACCAGGGAGGTAAAAGGATAAAGGGCAGCATTGGTTACTGTAGACAATCTATGCCAGGCTCAGGAAGAAATTGCCTTCCATAAAATCAGGTTTTTGAGGCAAGGTGAGGTGCTAAATCTCTGCCACTTGCACACATGTATGTTGATTACTCCAGTACCAAGTGGATGTGGCTGGTGACAAGGGGAGATATGCAGTGAGCCCCCTCAGGCTCCAGCCATGCTGGTGTGAAGGAGGCTGTTGGCCCACCAGGGTAGCAGGGGCTTGCTGCCCTCGCTCTGAGCCCTGCCTAGGCAGCAGGCACAGGTCTCAGCCTGACAAGAGCAGGCTTGGTAGGGCTGGCAGCTCTCCTGGCATGTACTGAGCCCAGGGGGCAGAGGTGGTACTGGGGGAAGGGGTGTTCTTGCAGCTCCCTCCATGGCCAGCAGGCCCCCAGTCCGACCCAGCCCTCGTGTGGGTGCCAGTGCCCTTAGGACAGCCTGGCACTGCTGTTTTCCCAGCAGTAGGATGGAGCCAGCTTAGGCTGTTGCAATCATGCTGAAATCAAGAGCCTCAATCTGTTCCTGTGGGGTGAGCTGCCTACACATGACAGGCACATTCAAAGCTCCCAGGTCTTAGAGATGGGCCAAGACCTTCCAGGGAGTTGCAGACAGCAAATAGTGCAGGGATAGCCTGGTGAGGAGTGGCAAGGTGGTGCTGGTAGTGCCCTTTGGTGGAGAAACACACAAAGTTGGACCCAAGACACTGCAGGCAGGAAGTGCGCCCTGCATATGCACGTAGGCTTGTACCAGGGCCATGTACTGTCCCCAAAGCCTTCACCCTGGCCCAGGGCTCGTCCCTGGGCTGCAAGAGAAGCAGCATGCAAGGCTGATGCTCATCAGCTTTAATGTCTGTCTGGAGCAGTAGTCAGGCACTTGCAGGGCTCCTGGCCTGCACCTACCCCTCTGGAGATGCTGAGAAACTCCCAGGATGTGAGGCCTCAGTGCAGGCTCTTGTGGACCACAGCAGGGAGCAGGGGGCTGGTGCTGCCCATGACTCACAGGATAATCTGGTTTTTGTAGCTTCGGCTCAGCTCCTTGTGAGGAAGGACAATGGAGTTGAGAATGACGACCTCAGCCGGAATGGTGACACTGCAGCCTGGGAGGGGAACGCAAAGGCTTTAGCTGGAGGGGAGAAGCTGCCTCGGTGAGCAGGCCCAGGGTGCTTCCACACAGCAGCAACGTACCCAGGATTGTGATGGACGGCGTGAGGCGCCCGTCCCGGAACAGGGTCTCGCTGTCAATCTTGGCGTAGGGATCGTTGGGGTTGGGGTCGCTGGGCGTCCCCTCAACCCGCGCCCAGCGCCCGATCGTGCTGTCCCAGCCCACAATGGTATTCAGGACACAGGTGTGGTCCTGGGATGAAGGAGAGGGGAATGTAGGGTGCTGCTGCCCCCCTGCACGGGGTGGGGGTCAACACCGACTCCCTCAGGCAAGCCCCACTTACATGGAGTGAGGCACCATGCAGGACGATGGACTCTCGCACACGCACACCAGCGCCCACCGTCACACCCTCCCCTATGGAGACGTTGGGGCCCAGCTGTGAGGACAGAGGCAGGTGATGAGGACAAGCATAGTGATGCCCTTGGCACCCCTGAGCATGTCCCTGCCCCAGGGCCCCCCCCAGCCTGGACTCACCACTGCAGTGCTGTCAATGGAAGCTGTCGGATGGATGTACACATTCCCTGCAACACAAGGCAGTGGATTCAGGGGAGGCAGCCCAAGAAGCACCTGCCTCTCAGATAAAGAAAGGTCCCATTTGTGGGTCCCACTGCCTCCCTAGGCAGCCCACAGGATCACCTGCCTCTCAGATAAAGGGAGGTCCCACTCGTGGGTCCCCCTGCCTCCCCAGGCAGCCCCAAAAGTGTTAGTGTGTCAGAATGGTACCTCGGATGACAGGGCCTCCAGGTTTGTTCTGGGCCAGTCTCTCTGGGTGGCTTTTGCTGTACTGATTCAGGTAAAGGCGGCTGGCATAGATAGCAGAGCTGGAGGAGGAAAAGCAGAAGATTGTTATTGTCACTCTGGTGCTACCAGGGCAGAGGAGGATCCAAAATCAGCACCACCCACCCACCCCCACAGCTCTGAGCACCCTGCACTCCCAGCCATGATACTGATCACTTCCATCCCTGGTACAGATCACTTGATGCTCCTGCTACAGCAGCTCCAGCACTTACCCAGCTGACTTGATCTGGCTCCAGAAGCCATCAGTTTTGTAGACGTAGAGTTTGCCACTCCCAGCCAGGGCCGTGAAAACATCCTGCTCTAGCCGGATCACTTCTGCACGCTGCCAGCCATTGGAACTTTCCTCTCTGGAAGCAAGAGCCCTGTTAGACACCCACCCCAGCCATGGCCTCACCTAAGGACCCCAGCAGACCTACCCTCCCCAAATTCAGGGACTCTGACAATCCCAGATTCCCACCTAGCCATGTGCTTCTCCCTGAAAGTGGGGAGAGGGCCAGCTGCAGACTAGGTTGGGACAGTCCCACTGAGCCCCAGAGCAGCAGAGGGACAGCCAAAATAAGCTCTGAGCCAGAAGCTGATGGTGCAAGAGCCCCACCTAGTCCAGGTGGGTGTATGATCCTGTCCCCAGTCCAGAGCCTGCACAGCTGGATATTAACTTGGGTGGTGGCAGAGGGGTGAGGTGACAGGCTGGCTGGTGCAAAGAGCTGGAGAGGGGAGGAGAGCATTCCCAGGTGAAAGGCTTGCTCAGCCTCTAGTCCAGAGCTGAATGAGAATGGGGTAGGAAGAGAGGAAGGGAGAGGGAAAGTCTCAAGCTGACCAGGAGCAGAGCAGAGGAAACAGCAGCCTGGAGAAGGGAGGGAAAGCATGCATTACCACTAGGATCAATCCAGCCCAGAGAGCAGCGAGTGCAGACACAGAGGGAGACTTACCCAAGGTAAGGACAGCTGGTGCAGGACCAGGAAACAAGTGAGTGATGGCAGAGGAGGAGAAAAGATAGAGAAAGTATGGAGGATGAGCGTGCTGCTGCAGCCCCAGGAAGCAGGGGGGTGGGAGGGACACAGAGCAGAGTGAGGCACTCACAGTGCTAGCTCCTGTTGGTTCCTCTGGAAGACTTCACCAATGTGCTGGAAGATTGCAGGTGTGAAGAGGTAGATGCCACAGTTAATGATCTCACTGACAAACGTGCTTGGCTTCTCCACATAGTGCTGAACCTGGAGGCGAGGGAAAAGACATGAATCCCAGGGTGCAGCCCCTCCATCCAGCACCACACCCTCTGTGGCACCACAGGCCCACGCAGGTGACACAGCACCTGCTGCCCACACTGTGCTCCACTCCCCAAGGCCCTCCAGTACCTCCTGTGTGCCTGCATTTGCCACGATACAGCCATAATTCAGTGCCTGTGTCCTGTTGGCCTAAGAAACAAGGAGAACAGTGTTAGCAATGGTGGAGCAGTAGGCACAGGGAGGCAGAGCAGATGAACCCCAGACCTCTGGGACCCACCCACCACAGGAGCTGCTGGCTTCTAAGCCCACGGCAGAGCACTGCAGCTCTTCTGCTCCCCAGCACTGCCACTCACTGTGGTACCCAGAATGACAAAGCTGTGCATGTCCCCATGCTGCTGCCGAAACTCCAGCATCTCTTGTAAGGGGAACTCTGAGCACACGTCTGCGTTGAGGACAAAGAAGGCCTCAGCACCACCTGACAGGATCTGGTCTCGGAAGTGATAGATGCCACCACCCGTGCCCAGGGCTGCGTACTCCTGCAGATACCTACAAGCCAAGCAGGAAAAAGGGAGGGCTTAGGGAAGCAGGTGTCTAGTGGCACCTGGCAGGGCTGGGAAGGATTGGAGAGA